TGAGTATTTGTATTACCAATTTACCCGATTATTTTCGCGGATCATCAAGTGAGTCGATACTTTTTTAGGGGAGTGTATTTTATTATCAGTAAAGATTTATAAATAATTAATTAATAATGACAAGTACAGTATATAATAATTTTATCTTTTATCAATTATTTGAAAAACTTCTAATTCATCAAATTTACCACCATTTACTATATTGATATTATTATAAGCCATTGGTTTACTATTGATTTCACCATTTGAAATAAACCGGACATCATCACCACTACCAAATCTAGGTAAGTCAGAAGAATAACAATAAATTGCGTTGCCATAATTATTATTGATAACATAACTGAAATTAATATCTTTCCTATTGCTTATATTAAAAATAAAACTTTCTTTTGTATTTTTATAACCACTTCCATTCCAATTAAGTGGATTATAACCACCAACTATTTGTATAGAATTTTGTAATTTACCAACTACAAGAGTTTTGTTGATGTTATCACATTTTTGGTGAAATGCATTAGTATTTAAACCATCTCTGCTGCTACGATATAGAAGCTTAAATTCATATTTGACTTCCTTGAATGAATCATAGGGTGGACTTTTCCTATCAATCCAACTTGCAAAAAGAAAAGCAAGTTTGTAATTAATTGTTAATGATTCAAGTTTAGGTTTTCTTGATGGTAATAAACTTAATGTTTGTTGTCTATCAGGAAAAAAATGATATTGTGAAAAGGGTTTCCATAAAGTTCTAGGAAAAAGCATTTGATATGGTTCAATTTTATCAAAAAAATCATCTTTAGAAATATCCTGGAATCTTATCAGAGAAAGGAATTCTTTTAATGTGTTGCCTAAATCAACAAAATTTTGTGATGACCAATCTTCAACATTAATATTATTGATTTCTGGATGTTTTGCTAATCCCCATTTAAGAATATTTTCCCAAATAACCATCTCATCAACAAAAAAATCTTCTCTTTTGAGAATTTCCAAAAGAACTGGTTTTCCCAATGATTTAAATTCACTTGATTCAAATAATTTTTCACTATATTCACAAAATGCATCTAAATAAATATTTTTCAATTCCTTAAAATTTTCATTAGCATAAATCAATTGCAGAGCCTTAACTGGATTTTCTTTTATATGATCTTCATAATTTTCAATAAAGAATTTTATCATATATTCATAAAGTGACTCAATGCCAAGTTCATCTACAGCAATTAACAGTTCTAATATTTCAGCTCCAGAACAATTTTCAAGTTCAATTTTACATGTATATAAAAATCTTCCAAAATAACAAATTATTAAACAGGTTATTAATATCATTATTTATATGTTCATTAATAATAAATAAATAAATAAAATTTTAAACTCACTTGAGAATAGGTTTGAAACATTTTTCACTAATATTAGCTTTTGTAACAATATAATAGCCATTTTCTCTTGTTGCATTATTTAATGCATTTCTAAAAAATGGACAATGAGCTGATATGATGGATGTATGTGCATGGACTTCTTTAATGTTTGGTTCTACACCAACTTTTATCTTTACATCATAAAAATCTTCAGTGCTTAGTAATCTTTCATTCTCATTAAAATACTTTTCAAATAATAAATTCATTTTTTTTTAAAAAAAAAATGAAGGATGATCAGCACCAATCATATTTTAACCAATTAATTTATTTTAATTAATCTTATTAAAACTTCCAATTCATCAAATTTATTGCTATAAGAGTCTGTTATTATAACCATCTATATTAATATGTTTAAGGCCTTGCTCAAATGGCAAATAATCATTATTATCATTATTAATCAATGAATCATCATTACTTACAGCAAGTATTAAATTTCGTTATAAATCTTTGGTATACAAACAACTATCGGTACTAAATCAATTTCACAATGAACTGCATGCTAATATAACTAATCTGTGTAGTATTAATGCCATTTCTATTAAACATAAAATTTCTGGATTTGCATTCCAATCAAGTGGATTATAACCACCAAACTATTTGTTTGGGATTTGTTATTTTGCCAACTACAAGAGTTTTGTTGATGTTGTGAGCATACAATTCGAGTCTCTTGTTTAGACGCCCTTTACTAGCTAGGCTTCTGTTGGTTGTCAGCCACACCACCATTATGTTAGTCATCGTTAGTTGCTAACTGCTTTTCTATTGCTGACAAATTTTGTCCGAGTCTCAAAATCCTCTCCAGCCACACACGCAAAGAAATAAAAGAAAAAAATAAATACATACAAATATACTACTTGAGGTATCCTAAAAGCAACATAGTAAAATTAAAAGGACTCCCAACTAATAATTAAAGATTGGACAAACCATTAATCATTAAAAGGGTCCTGAGTCAATCACGCTGGCTTTATTAATTCAAAATCTATTTTTATGTAAATGCGTTGCTTTTATCATCAATGTGTTAGGATATTACGTTATTAAAAGATTGAGAGTATAGATAATGTGCAACTTAGTTTGGTTTTATTTCAATACAACCTTTACAAGTAAGTAGCAATAGAGTTACTTTTATTTGTATTGTTTTAATACAAAAAGGACGTGGATTTGAATTTTTTTTAAATTTGTATCGATAATGACTTGGTCATTTCCCAAC